GTCTACTCAGAAGTCCATACAGGGGCAGTGGAAGGACTATCAGTCAGAGCGACGTGGCAATACTCAAGAATGGCGGAAACAGTAAACGGCAGACGCACTGGTGCGCACAACCATGGCGCATTCATTTGTCTCTGCTGATATAAAAAGCACGGTTTCATCTGTGCTATGCCACTACCACATGAAAGATATAGCACACCAGCATCGCTCAGTCAAAATTGCGTTCGTCAACGTCATACGAGTTTTTATGCCTTTTCCAACCGGATACAACCCAGGAACCGCGCTGCTGTCCGTCTTTCCAGATCAGTTGGCGATCTTGGCGGGCCGCTGGAATCCATTGCTCACAGCCTGCCTCCGCCAGAAGAAGAAGCTCTGTGCCCTTCGGTCGGCAGTCGCCCAACAAAAACCACCAGTGTGATTAATGATCGCGTGGGCCTGAAGATATCACTCGGCAAATAAGTAGTTCGGCGTAAACTGGCGGTAATTCTGGTGATTGGTGGCCGCCCAGTCAGGCGGCGTGTTTTTCCAAGAGGGGCCGCGGGGGGCCGCGGCCCTTGTAGGGGACATTCCTTTGTGTTTTGCAGAACCCCGCTGACTGCGTTGGCTGGGTAAACTTCATGGGGTGCTCTGACTATTTGAAACCCGCCCAGCATGCACAACTGGGTAATGGAATGCGAAATGGATCGTCACGCGGCTCAAATGCGTAAACCGAAACGCATTCCATTCCAGCTGTCGAAATGCAGGAGAAGCGCATCACGATCGTTTGGCAGTAGCGTACTGTCAGAAGCCGATAGGATTTAACTCGAGTCTTTAAAACGGGCAGCATTTAGTTTAGTCAATAAACTTTTGTGACAGCTTTATGTCAAACACGTTATTGAAACGCTTTCAAAAACAGGAAGTTTCCAGTGTCTCTGGTTTTCTCAGCAGGTATTTCGAAGAAATATTCTGAATCTGTTAGCGCATCATAATATAATATGTGATGGCTTAGTTGGGAACTTTATCCCAACTGCCTGCAAAATTCAAAGCTTCTGCCGTGTCAGATCATTCACCTACGCTTTTATTCTCAAAACCGTGCACGACAAAAACGTGGAACCTTTGAGTAGTACGAAACCCAATCGTCTGCACAACAGATGTTCTTGTATTGTAGTTATGCAAATGTGAAATGGCTGTGTATAAACAAATCAGTGTTCAAGAACCTGCAATAGGCTCAAAGCTAATGTCACGTCCGAACTCCTGTATTTGATGTCAAATTTGTCCACAAACGCGCTGCATTGTTAACTAAAATGATAAGCTTACTCGCTAATATTCATCCTTGTCAATGTGTGTATCAACGTCCACAACATCACGATTGTTATACAAGTATAACAATAGTGATGTTATGGACAGGTCATGTCTTAGAAATGATCCTAAAACTCACGGACATTTTATAGAGCGCCAGTAGCATCGTTGTACGCGGTGCTTACATTCAGCGTCATGCTTGCGTTCAGCGTCAAGTCATCAACAAGTGGTGTTGAAAGGTCATTAATAACCTCATGAGACCTTACGTATCCCCGATAGCGAATGGGGCAAGGTTTGACCTGAATCAGCTTTGCTTTGTGGTCACGTAAAGGCTTAGAAGAAGCGGCAAAAGCGTGACTTGAGCCTGTTTGCGTGAGCTGACAAGTCAATGGCAAAATTTAACTGTCGTGTTTTCATGCATCATGTAAAGACCACCGCCTGAATTTTACGCCGGGACAATTTTGCAGTCTCTAAGGATCTCGAAAACCACAAGGCCGAGTTTGGGTTCAGTGACACAAAATGACTGCTTGGGGATCGGCTGTTATTTTGTTAGCCGATGTGTTTGGGAGTGTTGAAAACCGCTCTCCAGTGGAGATGTGTGGAGTAAGATGATAACTTTTACTGCACCTGCAGTTAGTTTTGTGACCTTAACAGATTTGACCCCAAATCGCCTCTGGGTTAAATGCCCAGCAAGTCGTCCCATTTCCTCTCGATTAAGTTGTCATTGTTTTGCCGTGCGCTCACTCCTTAGGTTTAAGCCGTAACCATTATGTTTGGCTTCAACACGGAGGCCAATGGGGTACGGGGAAAAATGGATGTTTATGTTATAATTTCGCATCCCCACACGCACAGTTTTATTGTTATAAATCATTGTATATCGGGTGACTCCTATATGCGCAACCCCCGATTTTGTAATTTCTTAGTACTCACGCTCTGGTCACTGTTGTTGGCATCATACTGTTACACACTTCCAATGCATGCTAATCACTGTTACTAGCATCATACACACTGTACATATCGAAATTAACGCAGATGTATTTAGTTCACGGAGCGCAAATTACACCCACCTAAACTGCATGTGTGGCAGCACTTATGTTTGCATCCTAAATGCGATTTCGGTTATGGCACATGTGACAGTGTCAGTCGTGTTGGCTATAGCACATACCACAGCGTCAGTCGTGTGGGTTATAGCACATGAGACAGTAACGGTCGTGTGGGTTATAGCACATGCCACAGCGTCGGTCGTGTCGGCTATAGCCCATGTCACAGCGTCGGTCGCGTCGGCTATAACACATGTCACAGCGTCGGTCGTGTGGATCATGGCGATGTCAGCTGAATCAAACAGCAACAGCCGCATTTTGATGCCTCTTTGCGTATGACAATTTAAAACATTGTTTATTTGCCGTGGTAACAAGTTGGCACATCTATGTCGCTACAGGGCTATGTTGTAATAAAGATGTACTGAAAAGTGGCTTCATTGTACAATGTTACAAGCTGAATATTGTACCCTATCAAGCCTAATATTACTGCTTTGTCGTTGGGTATAATCATGACTTTGACTTACAATCTCTTTTGACTAATAGAATATATGATCGGTATGATATGCGTGCTTCGTGGTTTTGTAAGGTTATTGTGAACAGCAAAATGAATTTGATAATTTCCGAGGCAATGAGCGGCATGGCCTGCGATTCCTATACATCGCCCTGATTTCCAGCTTAAAGATTCCCGATTTTCTGCTCAGTTCTTTCACCACCACCCAAAAATCAGGCTGCCCCTTGACTGAAAGGTTGAGGCTATAGCAAGTTATTTTTTTGTGAGGATTCCTGTCGTCCCCTTTTCCCTATTCTTACCAAAATTTCAGGCGGCAGAAAATGAGACCACAGGCACTGAGCAAACGATAATTCGAGTCCCGCGCATGTAAAATCACAGTGTATTAGAACAAAATCTGCACGGTAAGCGTTGCCACCTTCTGAGCTCCGGCTGAAATGTCGGCCATTACCTGGTGTTGCATGAACACGGAGACGTCAAGATAGCGGTGGAAAGATCCGGTTCATTCCTTGCCTACAAGCGGCGTCGGAGCGTGCAGCTATTCTGCTTGAAATGCAGCACCATCCAGGACAAGAAATTGTGTTTTCCTGTATAATCTCAGCCTGTGCCACGAGCTGACTCATCTTACAGCGTTACATAAAGGGCACGCAGCCCCCCTCCCATTGGTACCGACGGGGAGCGGACGGAGACTAGCTGGCGGCAGCTAGCTATAAGGCTTGGGCCTAGCGAATAATGCTGTACTTGGTAACATACTCAGAAAATTGCGCCATTCGAAAGTTGTCCATTCAATACCGTCTTTTCGCCAGCAGCATTATCTTCATATTTCATTTTCTCGGAGTGTTGGCATTCCATGGGGGTGTGCTTGGCGGTTACGCGGAAGGGGCACTTTCATTATGCGAGTCCAAAATTGATGCCAAGCATAGCGCTTAAAGGTGGCCATATAGCTGTTTGGTACAACCTGTTGGTTAAGATGAAAACCTGCTCTTTTAAGTGAGAATTTACTGTTCCGTGTACGGAAAGTCATTGAGGTTACAGCAGTTAGTGTGCGGGCTGCGGCGGGCAGCTTCTGGCTATGTTTCTGTTTTCCATTGCAGTCTGCGTGGGCGATCGCGGGGCCGATCATATCAATATGAGAACATCGTTGTCACTTGAAGACTGACTGGGGTGTTAACCAAGATGAACAAAAACCCAGTCCAGTATCATCTGGGTCGACACACTGTAAGTCTCAGAAGCCCAACGAACTTCGGTATAACACCGAAGGGAACATCACTACCCAGAGGAGTCAGAGTTTTGTTACCGAAATGCAGGATCTCGACAAATGAGTTGCCGTAACATCTTGGTGAAAATGATGGGATAAAGATAGTTCTAGAGGCTATACGCAGTAATTTTGACACTTCAACGTGTGGCTCGAACTGATTTTTGATGACGTTAATGTGTTCGCCGAACTGACCTGCGAGGAGAAAATGCCTAGCATGCGCGCTTTTTGTGTCGGTAAAATTGGATCAATGCTTTTCAGAAAAATAACAGATTTTGGCGGGCTGCGGAATAAAAATGTGAACATGGCGATGATTGGACGGTCGTTTCTCCTACCGTGGCCTTTGTGGGTTAAGGTAACTCTTACCAGATTTTCTACCTCCTCCCTGACAAATCCCAGCTCGTCATTTACCCCTTCGCCTCAACCGTTCGTGAAACCTAGTTATCCAATACACAAACACTTCATACTGAGTCACAAATAAACACCGGTATACAACCGGCGCCTCGTTCATCAATCATCCAACCGTGTTGCCCGCGGCGGTCGGCGGCGCGCCAGGGCCGAGTGTGGCGCAGCTGTCACCAAATCGGTGCCTCTGTGACAGACGCGTCGTCGGAGAGATCGCGCCGCGCGCGTCGCGGGACGTCGCCGTCGCACACACCCCTCCCGCCATCATCCAGTCTGCAATCTACCTGCAAAGCCCCCCCAAAACGCCGAACGCCGCAGCCACGGCCAATGGGCGGTGCCTCACCCGTGACGTCATCCCGCCGGCCAATGGGCGGTGCCTGAGCGGTGACGTCATCCGGCCGGCCAATGGTCGACGTCGGCGGCGGCGGCGGCGGTGGCGGCCGCCGCGGCCGCCGCCACGGTCGGGAGTGATGCATTACGCATGATAGGGGGAGAACGCCGTGTGGTGGCGCGCGCCATGGCATCGGGCGCCTACGGACTGGGGAGTGCGTCGGGCGCCGACGTCAGTGTGAGTGTGGCCGAGACGATGCTGAACTCGCCCGGGTACGTGCTGCGTGACGAGATGAAGTACATCCCGCACCCGCAGCCGAGTCCGATGTCGCACAATCCGTGGATGCTGCCGGCGCAGGCCGAGTCCGTGCACTGGACGCTGCAACCCGCACGTCAGCGTGCACGAGGACGTGAAGCACCCGGCCGAGCTGACGCACGTCAGCCGTGTGCCGCAGCACGTGCCGCCGCCGTCGTGGCAACCCGTCCGTGTCGCCCTCCTATCTCAGCCCGCCGCCCAACGGCGCGCCGCCTCCGCAGCACCCGGCCTACAGCATGCACAGCATGATGCCGCACCAGCTGCACCCGGGGCACCTGAGCCGCGAACCGCACGAGCTGATGATGCCGCAGAGCGAGCCCAGCCAGGAGCCGGAGGAGGAGGCGCCCTCTGACGACGACCTGGCCGTGTTCGCCAAGCAGTTCAAGCAGCGCCGGATCAAGCTGGGCTTCACGCAGGCCGACGTGGGCCTGGCGCTCGGCACGCTCTACGGCAACGTCTTCAGCCAGACGACCATCTGCCGCTTTGAGGCGCTGCAGCTCAGCTTCAAGAACATGTGCAAGCTGAAGCCGCTGCTGCAGAAGTGGTTGGAAGAGGCCGACTCTACCACGGGCCTGACGGCATCCGTCGATCGGATGGCCGCGCAGGGCCGAAAGCGGAAGAAGCGCACCAGCATCGAAGTGTCGGTCAAGTCGCTGCTGGAGCAGCACTTCATGAAACAGCCGAAGCCGGCGTCGCCCGAGATCAGCAGCCTGGCCGGCTCACTGCAGCTGGAGAAGGAGGTGGTGCGCGTCTGGTTCTGCAACCGCCGCCAGAAGGAGAAGCGCATGACACCGCTGGGCCCGTGCACGGGCTACGATAAGGGAGACGGTGGCTCGCCTCAGTCGTATGTCTCGCAGTCGGAGCTGCAGCAGATGCAGGCGTCGCTTGGGCCGCCGCAGCCGCTGCCGCAGCAGCAGCGCGCGTCGCCCCACCAACACCAGCAGCAGCAGCAGCAGCACCTGGAGCAGCAGCACCTGGAGCAGCAGCACCTAGAGCAGCAACACCTAGAGCAGCACCAGCAGCAGCAACACCTGGAGCAGCATCACCAGCAGCAGCAGCAGCAGCAGCTGGAGCCACTGCCGCCGCTCGGGCCGCAGCTGTACCGGTCGCCGCGGCCGCTGGAGCCGCTGGCCGGCAGTCCGCCCAGTCGCAGCCCGACCCTGCTGTCCCCGCAGCAGCCGGGGACGCTGCCGCCGCACTCGCAGGGCCTGGCCGCGCACTGACGGCCGCCCGCTGCTGACCCGGGGCCGCGCTGCTGGTCCGTGGACGCGGCTGGTGCAGCTGCGCTGGTTCATGGACGTGCCTGGTGCAGCTGACCTGCTCCGCGGGTGTGTCTGGTGCATCTGTTCTGGTCCGCGGATGCGTCTGGTGCAGCTGTGCTGGTCCGCGGGCGCGCCTGGTGCAGCTGTGCTGGACCGCGGACGCGCCTGGTGCAGCTGCGCTGGTCCGCGAACGCGCCTGGTGCAGCTGTGCTGGTCCGCGGATGCGCTTGGTGCAGCTGCGCTGGTCCGGAGACGCTCCTGGTGCAGCTGTGCTGGTCCGCGGGCACGCCTGGTGCAGCTGTGCTGGTCCACAGACGCGCCTAGTGCAGCTGCACTAGTCCGCGGACGCGCCTGGTGCAGCTGCGCTGGTCTGCGGACGCGCCTGGTGCAGCTGTGCTGGTCCGCGGACGTGCCTGCTGCAGCTGTGCTGGTCCGTGGTCGCTCCTGGTGCAGCTGTGCTGGTCCGCGGATACGCCTGGTGCAGGCTGTGTCGGTCGGGACCGTCTCTGGTGCTGCTCTGCCAGCCGTGGACTCGCAAGCCACGGCTGTGCTGGCGCGGCAGGCCTCCGCTGGGCCGGAGCCGGGCGCCTCGCAGCGCCGCCGGCCAGCGGACGCAGCGCCGCCAGCACGGCTTGGCCGGGCGGAGGCGACGGCCACGCGCACCGCCGCGCCGGTAAGCAGCAGGCGCGGCGTCGCCCGCCTCCCCCACCGCTCGTCGCGCTCGTCCGCGCCGGCGGCTCGAGCGCCTGCGCTCGTCCGCAGCGGTGGCTCGGCCGGCCGCTGGCAGTCGGCGGCGGCGGCTCCGGCGCCGCCGCCTGTTCATGGCAGCGGCCCGGGCTGTAAACGGCCGATCGCACCGCGCTCAAGGCCACGCCATAAAAAGGTTATGACCTCAGCGGCCGAGACTGGGCCGTCTGATCTGGCGGTCGGTCGAGGGCCTCGGACGCGAGGTTGGCCGCCGTGCCGCCTGCTCTGTGATACGCCGGGGCCTTTCAGCGGACACTTGCAATACTAGATGTAGCGGGGGGCCGTGCTGGCCTCGAGCGCCGCGCGTCGCCTGAGGGTGACGTACCCGCGCGATGGGCGGCAACTCGCCGACCTTTGCCCTGGTCGGGTACTGATCATCTGCGCTTGACGGCTGCGACGCGACGTGTCGCGAACTTTTTCGTTTTCGCTGATGGTCACATTTTATTTTGGAGCCGACCATGCAGACGATGTAAGAAGTTTTCAATGGCTGTTTTTCTGTTTCTTCACGAATGCAGCTGCTTTCGTTTGAAAAGATTCGTTTTTGTTGTTCGTCCTCTTTCGTGCTAAATGGTCATGCACGGAACAGAATCCTGCCTTGGCCCAAAACTGACGGCTTTTAAAAACGTATTTGGCACAATCTTCCATCGCTCGTTAATCCTGACACAGGCTGGCCGGCCAGAAGGGAATATCATATTTTTTAGTTTGTTTAACATGTCCTTGGTCATTTAGTTCAGACAATTTTGCCGGACATGATATGGCAGTTCAAAGTCATTCAAAAAGCTGATCACTCATTAAATAAAAAAGCATTTGAACCAGGCTAGAATACTTTATCTTGCTGTTTTTGGGCTAGCATTCCAGTGAGACAAAACTCACGTTTGGTTAACATATAATCTAAACTGCCTCTTTCAAGTTGACAATGCTCAATATTGATATAGTACAAGTGTTACATATTTTATATACACTTCATTCCATTAAAAACGGAAGGCATAACGTGATAAATGGGTGCATTTGTAATGTGTTAACCAATCAAAACGCTAGTTAGTGTTCGTGTTTCATTAACTTTTCGTTGTTAGTCATGATGCAAAGGACGGATGCGATGAAGAGAATATGGCTGGAGTCATACCACTTCTGAAATGCCTTGTCTGTGTTATTTGCCATGGAATGTGTGGTCATTTGGGCCTGTGTCGTTTATGTCATGTGTTTGGGTGCTCCAACACCAAATGAATGTGTAAAATACATGCATTTTGACAACTCCATTGCGATCTAGGAGAGTTGGCGCATTTGATATACCAACAGTGTAGCTGGAAGGCCAGCCAGCTGTTGGCAGCTAGTGTTAGTCGGCTATTAAGAGGGATTTGCAATGTCGACTACCATGGATGTTTTCCAACAGAGCTTGCCAGTTGAAATCATTCTATATCCGCGTTTGAAAAATGATGTAGTTTATGAAGGGTTACCTTCGTCTTGTGTGGTTGCTGATATTAGTGAAACTTGGAAGCAAGCGGACGAATATTCGATGGAGGGCTAAGCTGCTCCCTCCGTACAGCTTATTCGCCTTTTTCCGGCGCTATCTGCACATTTGGTGTGAAGCGGTTATTTTGCACATTGTCCTGAATTTTGATCCACAACGGTCAAAAGCTAGGTCGGACTTAACGTTTCCATTAACCGAGCAGCTTTTCAGACTGGAAGACCGTTTAGGCCAGACAGGGTTTTATTTCACCACCTCGGCTTGCTACCTTGCTGTATTTCCCTGTCATCCTCTCAGACAGTGTCATGGCTGCATGGTTCGTCATATATTTCGTCATAACAGTAATAGATAAGATTAACTGAATGCCCTTCAGCTAAATCATATTACAGCAAAAGTATAGAACAGCTGAAAGTCATGCACACAAATGTGAGACGATAACGAAAAACACTCACAAGGTAGACTACGACAAACATCGAGATCATTTCAATATTTCCAACGGCCGGCTTACCTCATGGGCTCGTACGCACTTACACTATAAGGGAATGTAAATGTACACCACGTGGCTACTTCCACTACGCCCCCACCAAGGCTCCTCTAGGTCGGAGCTTCCACTCGCTGACAAGTACTTCGTCCATACATATCTTCTGCGACACGGGCCAAAACAAAAACGAAATGTAAAAGCGGTTGCAGTGCAAAGTTTGCAAAGACAAATCTCGTTGACTTTCAAGTATTGGTGAGACTATGAGGGCGAGACCATTTGGAACTTTGACATGATGTGCAACGATACTGCCCTCGTACACAGTGCACTGCCATTTTGCCAGGCTGTTCAGACCGTTGTTGTGAGCAATGTGTCTTTTTTCCGAGGAAAACTGGACCTTCTGCTATTCGTTTTTGTCGTCAGCAACAATGGGTGGTCGGATGGTCCATGTCCGAACTCGAGTAAAGATTGCTAACTTCTCATTTGAAGAATAAGTTGAAATGTCCACGATACGCCATACTTGAAAGAATGGAGAGCGTCCACTCTAGGTCACGCAGCCGAAAGTATGTCTAATTGTGAGGTCAGCATATTGGTTTGACTTTGTACATGAAGGCGCAGTAAATCACTGGGTAAACAGACGACCACTTAACTCACTCGCCAAAACCCCCGACGCAGCAGAGAAACGCGACAAACGAAGTGTTGTGAATACGAATGGAAGCCTGTGCGTTCATCCATTTCATGTAACGTCATGTACGTCATTGTATTTCTTCCCGAAATGTTTGAACAGTCCTGAGCATTTTTAAAAGAAGTAGCGTGTATTTCTCACGTGTTGGTCACTCAGGGGCTCTCGAGGAGTGCGTTCGCAGGAAGTTTAGCCACATGCCCATCGATTACGCTTGCAATTATTCCCGTTTTTATTTGATATTACAGGAGGTTCTTACCTGAATATACCGTCCAGAAATTGTACAAGAATTCAAACCCATGAAAGCTAATCAAGCACGAACTCAAAGTCAGGAAACGGCGTTCCAGGACCAAATACGCCATGTCGCCCAGTCCCAAACGTTGCGCCTCTAGTGAAGTGTGGCAATTTACCTCTGCATATGACGGCCCGTGTCTCCGTTATGAGTAACGAAATGCGACCATCAGTGCTCGTCTGAGATAAGCACATATTTTCATAACGGGAGAACTGACAGTACGTGGACATTTTAAGCGAGATAATTTGCTGGATTCCCTTCACAACCCCACGCAAAAATAATACTGCGGGCTTTACCGAACAGTTACGGTTTGAACTATCATGCAGCACTTACATATACACTCGGACCAACAGCTTGCATCACGCAACACACAGCGACGATGACATGACTTCACAGAAAGTTGTCACCTGACCAAACAGCAATGAAAGCTTGACGCTACAGAACGCTGTCACTTGAACGAACAGTAACTATGATTTTACGTTACAGGGCGCTGTCACTTGACACGAGTAGCGACCCTGGCCTTACGTTACGAGACGCTGCCAAGTACGCCTTCCAGTTCATCACTAGTCATCATGTTCACCATGTGGTGCCAAACCAAGCGACGTTGTTGAATCCGCTGCAACAAAGCGTTTTTTGTTGTAAATATAAAAGAATGCATGCCTTGCCTTGGGCCTCTCATTGAAAAATTCACGATTTTGAGGTGCAGTTGTCATCACCCAGACCGATTCGATAATCGGTGGAGCTTGAGGACAGATTAGGTAGGAGGGGCAGAAACGTCAGGCGCGCGGCTGCCCCGCTATTCCGCAGTCACCGACCCAAGCTTTCAAGCAATAGGCCACGAGTCTGACGGCTTGTGCAGAGCATGGGAAGGGACGGAGTCTGTTCTGGTTGTAAAAAATTGACTCACTGCTGCTTTAAGGACGTCGGGATGGCATCTGGAATCTTCTTTTCGGTAGTGCCGAGCATTCTTTACATTTTGCTCTTAGTCGTAACCAAACACAAAGTATGCGACCGTTGAAAGCGCCAATGTAATGTACCAATGTAGAATAGGAGAACTACTTTGTACTGTATATCATGCATACATAAGTATATATATATATATATATATATATATATATATATATATATATATATATGTATGTATCATTTATAACTACTAATTGGGTTAATGTCTTCATTTTTAGCCTTACACTGAGAGGATGGTTGATGTGACCGCTTGGGGCTTTCTCAGGATACCTCTCCAGCGTGGCGCGCAATCGCGAAAATATTGTCAGTGGCCCGCAGGACGTTCATCGTT